AGAATGTGATGCTATTTTTTTCCCTACAGACATGGGGTCTTGCTCTGTTATCCAGGCTGGTCTCAAACTCCTGGCCTCAAGTGGTCCTCCCACCTGGGCCTCCCAAAGTGCAGGGATTACAGGTGTGAGCCACCATGCCCGGCCTGAATAAGAGGCATTTCTGGCAGTCTTGACTAATGCCATAGGGAGCTCAGAGAACAGGTCATTGATTAGAGGAGCCTCCCATTGGGTAGACATGGCCTGATCTGAGAAGCCGTGCTCAATAATCACTGCTGGTTTCTCAGGTCTTGGCTCAAAAGCTGACGCAGATCCTGAAGGCACCACCCTGCTTGCAACAGAATGGCATAGTCTTTTTGGAAGGGATGGCTGGGCTCAGTGGCTCATACCTGTAATCAATCCCAGCACTTTGGGAGGCTGAGGGAGGCTGATCACTTGAGGTCAGGAGTTCGAGACCAGCCTGTCCAACATGAGGAAACCCCAACTCTATTAAAAATACACACATGACCAGGTGCGGTGGCTCATTCCTGTAATCCCAGCACTTTGGGAGGCCGAGGCGGGAGGATCACCTGAGGTCAGGAGTTCGAGACCAGCCTGGCTAACATGGTGAAACCCTGTTTCTACTAAAAATACAATAAATTTGCTGGGTGTGGTGGTGCATGCCTGTAATCTCAGCTACTTGGGAGGCTGAGGCAGGAGAATCGCTTGAACCCAGGAGGTGGAGGCTGCAGTGAGCCGAGATCATGCCATTGCACTCCACCCTGGATGACAGAGTGAGACCCTGTCTTAAAAAAGAAGAGATGGCTCACACCTGTAATCCCAGTACTTTGGAAGGCCAAGGTGGGAGGATCATTTGAGGCCAGCAGTTCAAGCCTGGCCAACATGGCAAGACCCCATCTCTATTAAAAAAAAATATATATATATATATACATATATATAAACACACACACACAAAAATTAGCTGGGTGGGGTGGCACATGCCTGTAGTCCCAGGTACTCAGGAGGCTGATGTGGGAGGATCGCTTGGGCCCTGGGAGGTGAAGGTTGCAGTAAGTCATCATCAAGCCACTGCACTCCAGCATGGATGACAGAGCAAGATCCTGTCTCAAAAGAAAGAATATTTTTTGCAGTGCTTGTTGTAATAGCAAAAAATTAGAAATAACCCAAATAGCTACTAACAAATGAATCACTGAAATGAGGGGTGTGGAATACCATGCAGCAGGAACATGAACTACCACACATTTCCACATGGGTAGATCTTAGCACTGTGGCAACCAAAGAGGAGTGCCACCAGGATGTCCCTTCTTTTTTTTTTTTTTTTTTTTGAGACGGAGTCTTGCTCTGTCTCCCAGGCTGGAGTACAGTGGCCCGATCTTGGCTCACTACAACCTCCTCCTCCCAGGTTCAAGCAATTCTCCTGCCTCAGCCTCCCGAGTAGCTGGGACTACAGGCGTCTGCCACCACTCCTGGCTAATTTTTGTATTTTTAGTAGAGACGAGGTTTCACCATATTGGCCAGGCTGGTCTCGAACTCCCGACCTTGTGATCTGCCCACCTCGGCCTCCCAAAGTGCTGGGATTACAGGCTTGAGCCACCGCACCTGGCCTCTTTTTTTTTTTTTTTTTTTTTTTTTTTGAGACAGAGTCTCTCACTCCATCACCCAGGCTGGAGTGCATTGGCATGATCTTGGCTCACTACAACCTTCACCTTCCGTGTTCAAGCGATTCTCGTGCCTCAGCCTCCCAAGTAGCTGGGATTACAGGTGTACGTATTTCTTTTTTGAGATGGAGTTTTGCTCTTGTTGCCCAAACTGGAGTTCAAGCGATTCTCCTGCCTCAGCCTCCCGAGTAGCTGGGATTAGAGGTGTGAGCCACCATGCCCAGCCAAGCCACCTTTGTCCTCAAAGAACAGTCTTGCACCGCATATGTCTCTATTGCAGGTGTACAAGAGTTTCTCTCGATATATCTTAGACTTGGAATTTCTGGCTCATACAATCTGCCTATATTCAACAAGATAATGCCAAAATGTTTCTATTCGATTCTTTAACACAGCCTTTAACCTTATACTACATCCCTCTTTTCATTTAAGCTAGCTTGAGTGGGTTTCTATTGCTTGCAATTCTAACCTACCTAACTCATCAAAAATGACTTTTTGATGACAACTCTGTGACATTCCTCCCAAGAGGTCCCCACCCTGACAATAGTCACCTCAGGATTAGAACTACAGGAGGTTATGGGTGAATGAGGCACAAACACAACACGTCATTAGTAATACGACACGTCGTTAGTAATACACTCACACTGGCTGGACACAGTGGCTCACGCCTGTAATTTCAGCACTGTGGGAGGCTGAGGCAGGAGGATCACTTGTGCAAAGGAATTCAAGACCAGCCTGGGCAACGTAAAAGTGTAAAACAATGTAAAAAAAATGTAAATGTAAAAAATAAAATGTAAAAAATAAATAGTCGGCCAGGCACAGTGACTCACACCTGTAATCCCAGCACTTTGGGAGGCCGAGATGGGCGGATCACAAGGTCAGGAGTTCAAGAGCAGCCCAGCCAACATGGCAAAACCCTGTCTTCTCCACCAAAAATATAAAAATCAGCCTGGTGTGGTGGTGGGAGCCTGTCATCCCAGCTACTCAGGAGGCTGAGGCAGGAAAATTGCTTGAACCCAGGAGGCGGAGGTTGCAGTGAGCCAAGATCATGCCATTGCACTCCAGCCTGGGCGACAGAGTGAGATTCTGTCTCAAAAAAAAAAAAAGTAATAAAAAGACTTTTTTAAAACTAAGGTAAGACATACACTCACACGTGCAGATCCTCGGTCCATGATGATGCCATTTTCCTGCTGCTCTGACCCAGCCATAGCCTCCCTCTAGACATCTTATTAGTTGGCCTAATGACTGCTCGTGATGTTTAAGTCATTTGCAATTAGATATTCCACAACTTGTAACTGAAAGCATCCTTAGTGATTTTTTCACTCTTCATTCATTCTTTCATATTCTTACTCTCTCTCCCTCCCTCTTTCTCTCTCCCTTTTTTCTTTTTCTTTTCTTTTCTTTTCTTTTTTTTTAAAGAAGGGGTCAGCTGGATGTGGTGACTCACGCCTGTAATTCCAGCACCTTAGGAGGCCGAGGTGGGTGGATCACTTGAGGCCAGGAGTTCAAGACCAGCCTGAGCAACATGGCAAAACCCCATCTCTACCAAAAATACAAAAATTAGCCAGCATGGTGGCACACACCTGTAGTCCCAGCAACTCAGGAGGCTGAGGCAGGAGAATCGCTTGAACCCAGGAGGTGGAGTTTGCAGTGAGCTGAGATGGCACCACTGCACTCCAGCCTGGGGGACAGAGTGAGACCCTGTCTCAAAAAAAAATAAAAATAAAAATAAAAATAAAAATGACAAAAAGACAGGGTCTCACTCTGTCCCCCAGGCTGGAGCGCAGTAGTGGGATCATGCTCACTGCAGCCCTGACCTCCCTGGCTCAAGAGATCCCCCTGCCTCAGCCTCCTGAGTTGCTGGGACTACAAGTGCACACCACCATGCCAGGCTAAATTTTTTTATTCTTTAATTTTTGTAGAGATGGGAATATTGCTATGTTGCTCAGGCTGCTCTCAAACTCCTGTGCTCAAGCAATCCTCCCAGGACGGCCTCCGAAAGTGCTGGGATTGTAGGCATAAGCCATCATGCGCAGCTTTCTCCCTCCTTCTCTGTCTCTCTCTCACACACACAAACACACACAGCTACAGTCACATATGCAGACAGGTGACGTTCAGTCATTAATGAAGTCACGTATACAAGCAAGGTCAATGTCACAGACAAATTGTTTTTCTCATTGTTTATTGTCACAAATTATATAAAAAGCACAAGAACCAACATTTTTGGCGGGCTTCACAAACAAATAGGAATCTGGAGGTGGTGATCTAGGCAAGGTAGTTGGTGCATAAATACCTAAGGTAATGGATGGTGCCGTGGTTTGAATATTCATCTCCTCCAAAGCTCATGTGGGAACCAAATCCCCAGTTGGCAGAATTGAGAAGTGGGGCCTCTAAGAGGTGATTGGATTGTGGATCAGTGGACTAAGGGATGAATAGGTTGATGTGTTACTATGAGGGTGGGACTGGTGGCTCTATTTATTTATTTATTTATTTAGACAGGGTCTCGCTCTGTCACCCAGGCTAGAGCGCAGTGGCATGATCTTGACTCGCTGCAACCTCCACCTCCGTGGTTCAAGCGATTCTCCTGCCTCAGCCTCTCGAGTAGCTGGGATTACAGACTCGAGCCACCACGCTCAGCTAATTTGTTTGTACTTTCAGTAGAGACGGGGTTTCACTCTGTTGGCCAAGCTGGTCTCAAACTCCTGACCTGAAGCAATCCACCCACCTCGGCCTCCCAAAATGCTGGGATTACAGGCATGAGCCAACTGGTGGCTTTATAAGAAGAGGAAGACAGACCTGAGTTGGCATGCTCGGTGTCCTCGCCCTGTGATGCTTTGCACCACCTTGGGACCCTGTAGAGTCCCTACCAGCAAGAAGGTCCTCAGCAGATGAAGCCCCTCAACCGTGGACTTCTCAGCCTCCAGAACTGTAAGGAATAAATTCCTTTTCTTGATCAATTATCCAGTTTCAGGTATTCTGTTGTAAGCAATAGAAAACAGACTGAAACAGACAGGTGGCATGTGGGTCTCAGGGGCAGACACACGAGTCTCCACTGACCACACATTTCAAGTCCCAAATAGAGAGGCAGAAAAGGCCAGCTGTGGTGGCTCCTGCCTGTAATTCCAGCGATGTGGGAGGGCAAGGAGGGAAGATTGTTTGAGCCTAGGAATTCCGGGCTGCGGTGAGCTGGGACCACACCACGGCACTCCAGCCTGGGTGACAGTGTGAGATCCTGTCTCTCTAAAACAAAATTTAAAAAAGGAGAAGGGAAGGGGAAAGGGAAGGTTCAAGATGGCAGAGGCACAAGCAGCCCCAGAACTCCTGTTGGGGAGATACTAATTCGTGCACCTGCCATTCTCCCCCAGGACCCAAATGACCCAGTCCCCCTCCTGGGTCTCTCATCCTCCTCGGGGCCTCCTGGAGCCGGTGCAGCCAGTGGTGGATGTGGCCCTGGGGCCTGGGCCCTGCCGTCGGCTGAGGCTGGATCTGTGGGCAGAGGAGGGCCGTGTGTGAGGCAGGGCCTGGGCCACCACAGGGGAAGGATGCTGCTCAGAGTCCACAGACCTGGGTGCCTGGGCCCCGAGGACTCACACAGACCCGGAGCTGGGAGCGGATGTGGTGCAGGGTGTGAAGGGGCTGGTCCAAGACATCCACCAGGCTGAGTCAGCATCAGCAGTCACCTCCAGGACCTTCAGCGTCAGGGCCAGCTCAGCCTCCAAAGCCACGGGGCGCTCCCTCACCTGAGGAGAGGTGAGAAAGAACAGGTGAGGGGGCAGGTGAGGGGAACAGGTGGGGGGAGGAGGATAGAGAGGAACAAGTGAAGGTGACAGGCACAGGGGAGAGGGCACAGCCAGTGTGGTCAGGTGGGAGCAGAGGGAAGGGGGAGCAGGTGTGGGGAGAGGAGCGAGAGAGACCAGGGAGAAGGAGAAGGTGAAGGGGCCACTACAGAGCCAGGTGAGCGGGGTCGGGAGGGCAGGCGTGGGCCTGACTCCCCCTCTCACCTGCAGCTGCCTCAGGTCCCAGGTCCTGGGGAAGAGGCGGGAGCGGCACTTGCAGTCCTTCAGCAGAAGCGACTCTTCCTAGACAGCAAAGGCACAGGTTAGCCCCAGCAGGAGGGTTGGAGGTTAGACCACTCTGATGGGAGTGGAAGATGGCTGACAACAGGATGGGGAGGTTAACTGCTGGGAGGATGGTAGAGGACCCTCTTCTACAGGAAAACATGAGTCAGTCCCTGCAGTAGGAGCATGAGAGAGCCCACTGCAGGGAGGGTGGAGGCTAGCCCAGTGAAGAAAGCTGGAGGTCTTCTTTCAACAAAGTCAGCATGGTGACCCATAGAGGGTGATGGAGGCTCGGCCATGGCAAGAGGGGCAGGAGGAGACTCACACAGGCCTTGTTCTGTCTATTAAAGCCTGAGCTGCATGGACTTCGCGTCTGGCTCCTGCGCCTTTTTCACCAGGAGGATGCAGTGTCCTGGGCTCCACAGCTTTGGGGCTCTCATTCAGTCTTTTTTCTTTTTGAGACGGAGTCTTGCTCTGTCGCCCAGGCTGGAGCGCAGTGGCCGAATCTCAGCTCACTGCAAGCTCCGCCTCCCGGGTTTACGCCATTCTCCTGCCTCAGCCGCCTGAGTAGCTGGGACTACAGGCGCCCGCCACCTCAGCCGGCTAGATTTTTGTGTGTGTGTGTGTATTTTTTAGTAGAGACAGGGGTTTCACCATGTTAGCCAGGATGGTCTTGATCTCCTGACCTCGTGATCCGCCCATCTCAGCCTCCCAAAGTGCTGGAATTACAGGCTTGAGCCACCGCGCCCGGCCCATTCAGTCTTATTCAAAGTCTCTGGCTTCGGGCTCTTCCTCTGGATCTCCACCTGCTGCTCTGGGCTCAGCTGTTTCTGATTTCCAGCTCCATCTGGAATATCACTCCCGCCTGCGCTCCAGGTCACACTGTTTAGCCGGGCAGAGGCCAGTCCCACGGGTGCAGAGCGGCGTGAGGTACCGGAGGGGGCGGGGTAGGGGGGAGGCCCAGGCTGGAGAAGTCCAGAGCAGGGCGGGGCCAGGTGACGCAGCTGCCCCCGGGGAAAGAGAAAGTGACAGGAGCCCGCGCCCCGGGGATCTGCGTTTTCCTACAGGAAGGTGACTTCCTGAACCGCACATGCCTGGGGCTGTAGCAGCTTCAGTTCAGGAGGAGGATTCACAGGTGCTCCCAGTGCAGGAGTAGGGTTTCGGGGGCGGGGGGGCAGGTGGGGGCTTGTGTGTCTGCAGACTGCTCAGATGTGGAGGGGGGTGGCTGAGGGGAACCCAGAAAGTATTTCCATGAGGGGTGCAAGGGGGGATTCTATAAGGAGGCTGCTTAGGAGAGGGGAGACCACCCAGGGAAAGGGACACTGTAGGGATGGGAGGACGGAATCAGTGAGGCCAAGACCACAGAGTATAAAGAAAAGGACAGGCCACTTTGGTACGCCAAGGCGGGAGGATCTCTTGAAGTCAGGAGTTCGAGACCAGCCTGGGCAACATAGCAGGATCCCCGTCACTACAAAAAAAAATTTTTTTTTTCAACTAGCCAGGCATGGTGATATGCCCCTATAGTCCCAGCTACTCAGGAAGCTGAGGCAGGAGGATCACTTGAGCCCAGGAGTTCAAGGTTGCAGTGAGCCATGATTGCACCACTGCACTACAGTCTAGGTGACAGAGCTAGACCTCGTCTCAAGGAAAAAAAGAAAAAAAAGGAGATCCCTCCCTGCACTCCCAACTCTACCCAACCTGCCATCAGCGGGGCGGGTGGGGGGCAGGAACAGGGGAGTGCCAGTGTCTACTCAGGAATTCAGGTACAGCTGAGGGCTTCAAAGGAAGCAGGTTGATTGTAACCGACCAATTCCTTTATTCATTCATTGAATCTGTCATTGATTCGAAAAGTATTTATTGAGCAGGAACCATAGGCCAACACTGTCCTGTGCACTGAGGGCCCAGCAGATAACAAAATACACAAAATTCCCTGTCCCTCGAGGAGCTGACATACCCGCGTCTCTCCCAGGACCACAGCCCCCCAGTGCCCGCTCAGCACTTCTGTGGCTTTGGTGGCAGAGCCCGCGGCTCCCTGTCACTCTCCCAGCTGGCTGAAGGCACAGACCCTCAGCTTCCACAACCCACAACTCCAGGAGGGGATAATAAGTTAAAATAAGTTAAATATGTACAAAATAAGTTAAATATGTAACAAAATAAGTTAAATAAGCTAAATATGTACAATGTCACTGCAAGAAGTGCTTTTGAGAAAAATCATGCATCAGATGGAGTCGGCTGAACACGGAAGTTGCCTGCTCTAAGGCAGCCAGAGAAGGGGACATCTAGTTGAAAACCTGAAGGAGGAGGGAGGGAACAGCATTCTAGGCAATGGGAACAACCAGTGCAAAGTGAGAACAACAACAAGTTCCTCTCACGGATGCCACCCTGTCCCGGAGGCTTTACACATGCAAGAGCAGTGAATCCTCCCAACACCTCTGAGGAAGGCACCATGCTTTCTTCTACCTTGAAAATGAAGAAGCGGGCCGGGCGCGGTGGCGCAAGCCTGTAATCCCAGCACTTTGGGAGGCCGAGACGGGCGGATCACGAGGTCAGGAGATCGAGACCATCCATGGCCTCGCGTCGCACCTCGTCTCTACTAAGATACAAAAAACTAGCGGCAGGCTGGCGCGGCACCTGTAGTCCCAGCTACTCAGGAGGCTGAGGGCAGGAATGGCGTAACCCCAAAGAAAACCCACCCACAACACACACAAAACACAGCGGAGGCGGAGCTTGCAAGTGAGCCGAGATCGCGCATACTGTAAACCAACTGGGGTGACACCACCAGACTCCGTCTCAAAACCAAAAAAAAAAAAAAAAGAAAATGAAGAAGCGACTGGGCGCGGTGGCTCACGCCTGTAATCCCAGCACTTTGGGAGGCCGAGGCAGGCGGGTCACAAGGTCAGGAGTTCGAGACCAGCCTGGCCAATATGGTGAAACCCTGTCTCTACTAACCCCGAGTAGTTGAAAACCATGTGTACTCCTGGGCCTGTGGATTTGGAAGAACAGGGAAAACCATGTGTATTTTCATACAGGCATCTGCCACCATGCCCGGCTAATTTTTGTAGTTTTAGTAGAGATGTATTTTCCTGTAGGCAAACACAGAGCCCGGGCACGGACGCGTGTCACTTTCTCTTTCCCTGGGGGCAGCTGCGTCACCTGGCCCTGCCCTGCTCTGGACTTCAATTTACCATGTTGGCCATGCTGGTCTCAAACTCCTGACCTCAGGTGATCCTCCCACCTCAGCCTCACAAAGTGCTGGGATTACAGGCGTGAGCTACCGTGCTGATCAGAGGTATTGAGTTCCTTGAAGATACTTTTCTGAGTCCTTAGTCACCTGACTTCTGCCCATCCAAGAAGTCCCTTGAGGAAACCTGGGGCCGACCTTGCTGTGTGCATGTGTGCTCCGAAACCATCTTGCCCGTCCATCCTCAGCATTATTAGACATGGAGACTAGTATTGGCACCAAACCCAAGACTACATTCTCTAGCATCCTGTGTGCTATGGGTAACCATGTGATTAACCCCTTACCAGGATCTAGGCCTTAAAACACAGGGTGAGTGGTCCCTGCTCTGTGTCCTATTGTCACCACTGGAAAACTGGACATGTCTGAGAGCCGAATCCTGCTGCGCAGGTGAGAACGATCTCCAGGGCAGGTCTTCTAACCTGTCAGAAGAATTCCTGGGTCTGTGGATTTGGAAGGGCGGAAAAACCATGTGTATTCTCACTAACCTCTGTCTGAAATTTGGTATTTCCTGAATGTATTAGTTTCTTACACCTGCTGTAACAAATGACCCCGAACTTAGTGGTGTAAAATAACTCACACTTTCCAGGGATGGATAAATGGATGCACAAAATATAGTTTACACATATGATGGATTATGATTCAGCCTTCAAAAGGAAGAAAATTCTGGCCGGGTGCGGTGGCTCCCACCTGTAATTCCAGCACTTTGCAAAGCTGAAGCAGGAGGATCGCTTGAATCCGGGAGTTCCAGATCAGCCTGGGCAGCATACTGAGGCCTCATCTCTACAAAAAATTAAAAAATTAGCCAGACATGGTGGCACGCACTTGTAGTGCCGGCTACTCAGGAGGCTGAGGCAGCAGGATCACTTGAGCCAAGGAATTTGAGGCTGCAGTGAGCTGATTGCACGACAGACCCTGGCCTGGGGGCAGAGCAAGACCCTGTCTCTAAACTTAAAGACAGAGAGATTGCGTCCAGGTGCGGTGGCTCACGCCTGTAATCCCAGCACTTTGGGAGGCCAAGGCCAGCGGATCACCTGAGATCAGGAGTTCGAGACCAGCCTGGCTAACATGGTGAAACCCTGTTTCTACTAAAAATACAAAAAATTAGCTGGGCATGGTGGTGGGCGCCTGTAATCCCAGGTACTTGGGAGGCTGAGGCGGGAGAATCACTTGAACCCAGGAGGTGGAGGTTGCAGCGAGTCGAGATCGCACCACTACACTCCAGCTTGGGCAACAAGAGCGAAACTCCGTCTCAAAAAAAAAAAGAGAGAGAGAGTGAGAGGAAGGAAGGAGGTTTGAAGACGTTATGTCAGTGAAATAAGCCAGTCTCAAAAGAACAAATGCTGTATGATTCCCCCTACATGAGGTACCAAGAGGAGTCAAATTCATAGAAACAGACGTGTCTAAATATTTGCCAGGGTAGCGGGAGGGGTTAATAGAGAGTTGTTGTTTAATGGGTATAGAGATTCAGTTTTGTAAGATGAAGAGAGTTCTGGAGATTGCTTGCAGAACAATATAGCAAACACTACTAGGACCAGGTGAGGTGGCTCACACCTGTAATCCTAGTGCTTTGCGAGGCCAAGGTGGGGACAGATCACTTGAGGTCAGGAGTTTGAGACCAACCTGGCCAACATGGCAAAACCCCATCTCTACTAAAAATCGTACAATAATTTAGCCAGGCGTCTGGCTGGCTAATGGCACGCACCTATAGTCTCAGCTACTCAGGAGGCTGAGGTGGGAGGATCACTTGAGCCCAGGAGGTCGAGGCTGCAAAGAGCTATGATCATGCCAGTGCCCTCCAGCCTGGGTGACAGGGCAAGACCCTGTCTCAAAAAAATAAAAATAAAAATAAAAATAGAATAAATAAATAATAAAATTACACTACTGAACAATGTTTTTTAAAAGGGATAAGATGGCACATTTTATGTGTTTCCCACTATTTAAAAAAATATTTAAATTCCCTGAACAAAAAGAACAAAACAAAACATAGGCACATTTCTATTCCTACAGTTCTGACGGTCAAGGTGAGAGCAGGGCTGGTTCCTTCTGGAAGCTGCAGGG